GTGGTGTGACTGGAAAGCAGTTCTACATATTTCAACTATTTATTTTCGTGTCTAGAATCACTGTTGCACCCTTCCCCCCACAAAAAAAGGTATTTTAAAAAAGTAAGAAAAAAACATTTCACGATCGTAAATGATTATTAAATTTAAATATTGTACATAACACCGAACAGCTACTATAACTATGACGTCACAGCATATGAAGTCTTATTTTGAAACTGCAAATTATGCATAAGAGCAAAAACAAAACCATTTGGCCCAGGCATGGTCTGGTGGTTAGGACACTACTCACAGGTTGCAGGTTCGAATCCTTTCATCAAACATGCTCACCCTTTCCTCTGTGGGTGTGTTATAATGTGACAGTTAGTTTCACTATTCATTGATAATAGAGTAACCCAAGAGTTGACGGTCGATGTTGTTGACTATAACTTCCTTCTCTCTCTAGTCTATCCCTTCAAAATTAGGGACAGCTAGCACAAATGGTCCTCGAGTATCTTAGCACAAACTTCAAAACAAAGAAACAAACTTAGACATTTATCAGGATATAGCACCTAACCGTCCCAGGCCCCCTAATGTTTTCGACACCTTGTAGAATAAACAAAAGCGTTTCCTTTCTGATAATGAGATTGAAAAAATGTATATATATATATATATTGTTACGTCTCTGTTCATTTGTTAATTTCCCGTAAAAATTCTTTCCGAAGAACTTCAACAATACAAGTCCTTTCTTAAATAAAACTAGTTTATTCTTTCTCAATACAACTTTGCAATACACTTAATTTCCACCGTCACTTTAACTTAAACACACGCTATAATTCACAACGATTCGCGCACTTTACTCACGGTCACTACCGCTCGCTTGACTCAATTATCTGTCTCTATATCTCTCTATCTGCTATTATATCTCCGCTTTATTTGCCGGGCTTATATATAAAAAAAAGATGGCGCCTAGAAAAGACTAGAGTTGCCAGGAAAAGTCAAGATCCTTCGAGAATCTCATTATGTGTTACCAGCGTCACGTGACTTCCGCTGTCGTAACAATATATATAAATCATTCTTTGGTGATGGATGTCCTTTAAGAATCATACATTTTATAACATAGCATGCAGTTAAGATACATATCAATAAATAATTAAATTTCTGTCTCATTCCATTGTGATATAATTTGATTAGTTTGAAACTTACTCATAATTGTAAAATATCAATTTATGTTTTTCTTGTATTTCCTTCATTATTAGAGTTATAGTTTGAGTTTTTAATATGCTAAACCTTTTTTGTAAGTTCATTATTCTCAAAACTTGACAATTGAGCCTCCTATTGAAAAGACAAAGCATTAAAGCATTTTCTCCTAATCCACTTGTCAGAGTCCACTCAACTCAACAACAAAATGACACGTCATCATGCACTTACAACACAGCATTTAACATATATAGTATCAGTATATCTGCAACATGAACTAGAATCAATATTTGACACATTTATTAACAAATGTCACTTCCCTAAACATAATGTCACTAGAATCTTAGTTAAATATGGAAAGAAACTCGATAACATAAAAAGAAGGAGAAAACAACACAAACTTCATGAAAGAAACAAAATGCACAAACTCAGACATACTAATGGGTGTCTTATCATATTATGCTACGTAACCAAAAACATCATTAACATTTGGAAACAAACATGAAACACAAAAAATAAACAGCAAAGTTACTTTTATTCAAAAACCGAGCACTAAAGTCAAAGGTCATCTAATGAAGGTATATTCTGACAACTTCAATGACGGAAGTATCTACAAGGATCATTGTGATAGCACATACATTGGCGAAATGGATGTAACATAAGCATTAGGATCAAAGAATATAACAATCCCCCATCACACATTTACGAACATAACACAACGAATCAACATCAAATTGACATTAACAATTTCAAAATATTATGTAATGAGAACAACATTAATAGAAGAAAAATAATGGAAGCATTAATTATTCTTGAACTAAAACCTAATTTAAATCAAAACCCAGGTGTCGCCCTAGATGTTTTCCAAATTGGAACAAAATGCTCGCGCAGTATTTCACACAATATACGATAGTTACCTGATGATGGCCACACGAGTGAGTCGTCGAAATGTTGTAATAAACACAAACAAAAAGTAAAAATAAAGAAGCCACTCAAAACCTTTGAACTTTTATTTGACAATATACTCATTACAATCTTATATCGATCCTGGAAGAGTGGGACGGTCAATGTAAACTTTCATTGGTTAAGGAGTAGCCCAAGAGTTGGCATTGTGTGATGTTAACTAGCTGTCGTTCCTCTAGCCCAGGGGTCGCCAAACTTTTTTCACAGCGGG